TCAAAGGTGCTGTGGCTTGAAAGGGGATGGATATTCAAGGGTGTTGTGGATTGAAAGGGGATAGATATTCAAGGGTGTTGTAGACTGGGAGGGGGCAGATCCAAGGGTGTTGGTGAAGCGGATAGATAAGCAGGCAGCATTAGAAGCCCCGTCTAGTGGTCTGACGGGGGCAGCCAACATAGAAATGAAATGAAATAAAACCGAACAAAACTAATACCGATAAAGCGTACGCAGCGATTGCACAGAAAACTCATGATAATGGGACCAGCCGCAGCCACAGGCCGCCGGACTTACCTTCCGGCTTCTTGCTAGCCATAATTCTGGCATAATCTTCTGCAGTGAACTCATATGCCTCATCAGGTAAATCATCTTCTGCATAAAAAAGGCAACAGCAGCACAAAAGATATGTACAGAGGATGAATAAGAAAAGGGGGAAAAAAAAAAAAAAAACAGCAGTGTGAGATGAAGGATTTGGCACAACCTCCAGCACTACCATCTAACAGCTAACAGAGCGAAAAAAAAAGCGGCAAAGTAGGTGATCTGAATTTCATGCCAGCCTTCAGTTGCAGGTGTTCATTCCCCGAAAACCCAGCACAGACTATGACAAGCCAAGCCAAGGTTCTCAAGCTTGAGATCCTACTGATCAGTAAATAACCGTGCAAGGGGGGTAGGCACTACCTTCTTCCCCTGAATACAACGTACGGTCATTATAGCTGTATTTGAGGCATCTTTCAGTCTAGATACAGCTATAATGACCGTACGTTGTATTCGGGGGAAGAAGGTAGGCAGTCTGGTGGGACCAACCATGCAGCTCTAGGGCCTATGGAGTGACGTCGGGTCAAAATTTCATATTTCCGGACGAAATTTTATAGCTTGGAATTTCATATTTCCTAATCTGGGAACCAATTTCCTAATCTGGGCTCAACCTGATCCATGCATGGACTTCCCAATTGGCTGTTGCCCTCAGTCAGGAATTGCGCCTCCTCTCTTCCATGATGGTTGCTGGCTCTTACCCCTGCACAGGACGTGTTACCTAATGGAATTTGCTCCTCCTCATCCTTCTCCTCCTCGCCATCACCAGCTCCACCTCCACTACCACCACCACCATCATCATCATCATCAGCATTAGCATCAGCATCATAATTGTCATTTTGTCATTATCATCATCACCATCACCGTTACACCATTGTCACCGTGACCAGCATCACCATTTCGTAATCAGCAGCAGGATGACCACCATCGCCATTTCATTATATCATCAGCGCCACCATCACCATGACATCATCATCATCTTCATCACCATCGTCGTCATCAGCAGCAGCAGCAGGATGACCACCACCATCATCATCATCATCATCATCATCATCATCATCATCATCACCATGACCACCGTCACCATTACATCATCATCATCATCATCATTGCCACCATCACCATTACATCATCATCATCATTGCCACCATCACCATTACATCATCATCATCATCACCACCATC